TGTTCTCCTCTTGCTTAGAAGGGTTCATATCTCTGTGATTTGGATATAATATTAATTGCTAAATTTGAATGAAAATGCTTTCAAATTGGTTACAATTTCCTACAATACAATTATGGATAATTAGATTAAGATAAGAACTCTTGTTTCAGTCAATTAACACATGGTTAAGTGTTTCCTGTACATTTGTACATTTGAATATTGAGAAAAAACTCTAAGTTTAATCTATTTTAATGCCTCCTAAGATGGCAGTGATAACCAGGTGCTGGAGCATATCTATTAGCTACTACTGTTACTATTCCCCCATCATTATTATATTACGTTTCACTGAGTTGTAAGAATTCTGTATTATTTCAATCTCAGTGTTGGAAAAAAGATGGATCAGATATTGTCATGGCATGGGACATGATTGTAATTTGAATGTAATCGATACAAGAATAAGAAATTTTATCAAATTGTCTATCAGTGCAGTGTGAAAGGAGTATCCAGTGGGATATCAGGACACTATCATATTGACATACATTCTGATTAATATACAGGAAACTCCCGCTATAACGAAGTCGGATATAACGATACAAGAAAACATCCGAAAATATTGTCATCCTCATCTTTATAGATTACCTAAAAGTATACTTTATTACAATATTTTGTAAAGAATACAATTGAATGTTCTATTCTAAATCAATCTACATAATGCTCTCATTATTCTTAAGTAGCATAGGTTTTAGCATGTGCTCTATCAGTTGACGACCAAATATATAGAATAATATCACCAGACCAATTCATTATCTATATTATTGATTAAGAGAGGAGGTGGGGGAATGGTTTGTTATTTGTTATTTGTTATTTCTAGAGTGCTTAACTTATTTATTGACTGATACATACTAACTTATAATTGTTTACAGTATTAACTAACTTATCAGGATCAATCATTCTAAGAATCATTAATATATGAATTTACTTCCTATTTCTGGGGTTTATGTTCACTGTTTGAGTAACCTTGCATATAATCAGTTCTATTTAACTAGCATCCTAACGAAAGCCTCGAGGATATACGATAATTATCCAACGGCTATCTTTCAAGTAGTGCATATATTATCACCAGTTGCATAATAAGCAGGTTGAGATTATGCTGGGGATAATTGAGAAAGCGTGAAAAGTTTTATTATTATAAAATATGAATTAAATTTGATAGTGCTTCTGATAATAATATTTAATTAATAAACAAAGAGCTAAAGCCAGGTTAAAATATAAGAACATGCAGATGATAGAGAGACATATTCTTCTTGTTAAAATATAATTATAAGTCAGTTGAAATCGGTGATGAGACGATATACTCTTCGTGCTTAGTTCGTAATTCTAAATTAATTTCTGATTCTGTCGCACTGTCTCGTTTCTCGTATACATACGTGGACATTTCATAGCCTTGTCTCTCTGTAGACTCTATTGCGGGTGATATTTCAGGGTCGGAAGATTCGTTCATATCTTCCATGATTATCCCTATATTCCTTTCATTTTTAAGTTCTAAGCATTCTTTTTGAAGCTCCTTTATCCGCTTCTCCTTTACTCCGACAAGTTCCATCAATTTTCTATTCTCAGCAATGAATCTGATCCTCTCCTGAGGACTCATGAGTAACATATTGTCATTAACTCTAGCAGTATGTTTCCTTTTCTTATGTACAATCTTATCGAAGAACACATCCGTTACTTTCTTCCTGAACATTATGAATATCATAAATGATATACCGAGATGTAGATTAACGAATAGAACAACGAAATTTACGTCTTGTTGGTAGAAGTAGAGCGTGTGAGCAACTACAGTGCACATTGCATTGACAATCGTTATGTTGTAGATGGAGAATAATATGTCACGTGTTTCACGGTATGTAGAGGGTAGCGTGCGAGCCTTTATCGATAGAATAATCCCGAATACTATCAACAGCAGGTTAGCTACGATTATTAAGTAATTCCAGTCAGTTTGTTCGCAGTATTTAAAATTTGCTCTCTGATCTTGTGGTTCCGGGAGACGTGATCCTTTGTCATAGACAGTCCACGCAGATAGTGAAATAACTGTAATGAAAATAAATGGCAGTAGTCTGAGGAAGAGATGCCAATCGATAGAGCTCGGTTGTTTAGTTTTATGTTTCCAATTCTTACTCACTTTGTATAGCTTTATAATACGCCAGGATTTTATTATGAGAGATCCGAATGCTAGTGAGAAGCCGGGATAGAAGAACCAAGGAGATAGGATACAGGTTACTGAGCTAGGAGGAAAGAACTCTACAATTAACGTAGTATACATCAGGAATGAACCGATTAGAATGAATAGCAGGAAGCGAGGAGCTGATGAAACGAAAGACTCGTGTTTTATAATATATGAGAATATTATCGTGATTATGATCAGACAGAAGCAGATTAACATTATCATTGTGTTCCAGGTGAGAAGTGCCCATCTGAGTACCTCTGTGTAGCAGGGGTTAGCGTCAGTGCAGTTGAAACAGCTGAGGTGACATGTGTTACATATTTGTATGTCTGAGTAGTGAGTTACGTTCAAGCTTGAATAACTGTGAATACAAACGCAATAATAAGAATCTCTCCTATAAACGGAGGAGTATTCTCGCTTCTGACAGAGTGAATTGGTTGTGCAGTTCTGCAGTTTAATAGTTTCTGATTGCTGACACTGATTGAAGTCTATAAAGGAGAGAGGAACCTCGAACAAGGTTTTGCTTACCTGTGTGAAGCGAGTAGCCGATTCAGTGGAACAGTTTGTTAGCGCATAGACCGGAAGCTCTGCAACTAATCGCAGGAACTCCCCGTTATTACACTTGAGGAAGGGTCCTCTCCACTTGATATCATTAGTTGTTACTCTAGGAATTGTCTCTATACTGTTTTCATGGTGAATTTCAATAAAATCTGATGGAAATTGTATAATCGTTTGAAAAGGTTCTTGAGCTAATCTCTGCGGTGTTTCAATCGTATTTATTTTACTCCTGGAGTTACCAGCTGGCGGGAGAGTATTTTCTGTAGCTGTTAGAAGGTCGTATTCTTTCCAAGCAATGAGATAGTTGAGGGACTGAAGCATATAGAGGAGACCTGAGCTAATGAGACGTGAATTCTCAAGAGGAGATATCATATATTTTCTGTTCAGGACGAAAAACTCCGGATTATTGAAGGTTCCATTTGATTGACAAGTGTTATCGATGAGCATGTCGACATAAAGTTGGAAAATCATTGAATTGACGTGATCTACGACAACATGTGTGACTTCATTTATCGTATTCAGATCCATCTCCAATAATAGTTTACTAAAATTTCCATTTACTTCTCTGTCACTACTAGATTCATCGCATAATTGTGTAGAATTTATTCTATGAAGACAACCTGGAAAATCTGAATCAGAACAGATCTCTGAAGTACCAGCTGTAACTAGAATTAAATAAATAAACAAGAACGAATAAGAGAATAAACCCATTTTTACTATACAGAGCTATTCAACTCATTTATAGTACTAAATTCTGAGAATTGCAATGCAATAGGGTAAGAAGTGTCAGTGTAGTTATGGATTCTTATGGTTCTCCCTATTTTCTACTCAAATATATACGATAATTATGCTTAAACGCACGATAAGCCAAGATTAGGTAAGGTGATTCTATTAAATTTTCTTTTTAGATAAACGCAAAGATTTCCTTCACTTTTGTATAGAACAGGGTTCCTGTTTGCCTGGCGAATATTTATTCAATAGAAAGCATGTAGATTTGATTATAACCCCAACTTATGGTTAAAAGATTATGTTTAGTCTTCTCAGAATATGTTTATTTGATAAAGCTTGAGGGTTAATGCACTTAACACAAACAGTTAATTTCTCTAAATAAGATATCTTTGGTTCCTATAGTAATTTAATTCAAACCAGTTTATTAAGTCAACTCCGTAGCAAGCAGATTCCAATTCGTCTGGTTGAAACCTGCCCAACCGGGCCGTTTCCTACGGCCATGCAAGTTAGAGATTTCTTGACAACTTTGCATGTTTGATTCATTTACAAACTCAATGATGAGCAGAAATTTGAGCCTTCTAATCAACATACAAATTTGTACATATAGCATGTAGCATGTAAGTAAGATAGCCAAATATGTAATGTACCATTAAGAAACCAATATTTTCACTAAGAATTCTTTTAAAGTAATTAATTATTTGATTGAATGGTAATTATAGATTGTTTTAGCCTTTGTACGTGTCATCTTGATTTGAACTGTGTGACCTGATTTCAAAAATATGTAAACCATTAGTACATCTTGTAATTACGATTCAATCTGATAAGATTGATTATTAAAAGTTGTTAAGAGATATACCTCCCAATTCGGGCAATTTGTAAATATGATATAGCCCTCTAATAGTTTCAGGTGTGTTTAAATAACTGCCTACAGATGTATATCTAAATTTGATATCCTGTGATAATGTTAATACCTTATCAAGACTTTCGTTTACACAAGCTATATTTCAATATCTCCATACTTTATGATATCTAAGCTAAAATTTATTGAATATAAGGTATGTGGAAACGATGGCTACCTTACGACTCTACGCAGTGAAATTTATTTGCAATCGTGTATGCTCGGGTTAATTAAGAAAATACCTTACAATACATATATGTTCTTAAAATGTGCTTATAATAATGAGATGATTTATCAATAAACTTACTTTTCCTCTTTTTAGATTGCAACTTTGAATAAGAAATTGGAAACAGCTGAAGTTCAAAATGTTTCTAGCAAAACAATACAATCTGATAATGAGAAGACAATTCGTCGGTTGGTAGCGGAGCTCCAACAACAGAGGAATCAAACCCCAGCGCCTAAACATGACCCAGAGGTAGAGGAACTAAACAGGAAGATTGCTATAATGGATTGTGAGCATAGGAAACTGGAATGCAATGTAAAAAGGTAAAAATATCACCCACATTGAATTAGGATCTTAATTTTAGGAGAGAATTTATCTAGTAAATACTTATTGTTTTCGTGGTGTAGTCGGTTATCACGTGCGCCTCACACGCGCAAGGTCCCCGGTTCGAACCCGGGCGGAAACATCTTTTTGCTTATTCGCCGTTTTTAATTTAGAACCGTGGATAAATGCCATCAAATACAATCTCATGAATTGCATTACTGAATGATATAACAACTGTTTGGCTGACCTCTTATCCAATATATTAATACTTCAATAGTCAGCAGCTGTCTCTGCCAAGTAATCCTTTCCTCTTGCTACAGTTCCTACCTGTTTCTGCTGGACACTCTCTAGCCGGGGACAGGCTGTTATTCTATGTCCAGGACCCCCACAGTACGAGCACCCTTTCTGTCCGTCCATATCCAGGTACGCCTCTTCCCGTGACTCAACCGCTTCTAACATAGGGGGCACATTCTGTTTAGCCTCAATCAGTAGGTGTTTGAGATCCAATAGCACCAGTTTATCACAGCTCTTGTTTATGAAGGTAGTAGCTACGCCCTTATTCCCACTTCTACCAGTCCTTCCTATCCTGTGTACATAGTTTTCTATGTCTCCCGGCATGTCAAAGTTTATTACGTGTTTTATTTCCGGGAAATCCAACCCTTTAGAAGCCACGTCAGTTGCCACCAATACGTCTTTATTTCCCGCCCTGAACTCGTCAACAGCTGACCTCCTCTCTTCCTGACTCATCCCCCCGTGTATACCAGCTGTTTTCACACCTTTCAATAACAGATACTCGTGCATATCATCTACGTCACACTTCTTCTCAGCAAACACTAGTACCGGTGGAGCTGTCTTTTGCAGACATTTTAAGAGATAGCATATTCTAGCCTCAGGCATGACATACTCTACTTCTTGAGTCACGTCCTTGTTAGCAGCACCTGCTCTCCCTACATTAACCGTAACAGGAGAGACTAGAGCACTCATAGCAAAGTTCTGTATCTTCTTAGGCATAGTAGCAGAGAATAGCAGAGTCTGCCTCTGGGCTGTGAAATATGAGAATATAGTTCTTATGTCTTCTTCAAATCTAACATCTACCATTCTGTCAGCCTCATCCAGCACCAGATAGCGACAGAGGGTTAAACGGATCGATTTCTTGTCCAATAGGTCCATGAGACGACCAGGTGTTGCTACTATAATGTGTACTGCTTCTTTGAGCTCATCAAGTTGTGATTTAAGACTGAATCCTCCGATACACAATACAGTCTTTATTTTAGGTAACCCAGCCTCATGAGCTGTCTTTGTATAGTATTTGAGTACTTCAGCTGTTTGGTTAGCCAGCTCTCTAGAGGGACAAATTATCAGTCCGTACGGTCCCTCCCCCTTTTCGAAGGGTAGCTCCATCTCCTGTTCTATACAGAACATCAATAGTGGTAGAGTGAATACCAGAGTCTTTCCTGATCCAGTGAATGCTATGCCTATCATATCTCTACCGCTAAGAGCTACAGGTAGTCCCTGCATTTGTATTGGCGTTGGATGTTTGATGCCCTTACGTTTCATGGCCCGTAGCATAACTTTAGGGAACTTCATCTCTTTCATGTCCAGTAGAGGACACGGTACGTCATCTCCCTCAACTAGGATGTAGTGTCGAGCTCTGATCTTGTCCTTTCTGTCCTTGCTCCAGCCTCTGGTGTAACCTGGAGGTGTCCAAGAGGTGACAAGTGGACGTGAGTACTGCACCCCTCTAGCTAGCTCTCCTACGGACATGAGAGCTCTGGAATCCTCCAGACTCTTCAGGATCCTCTGTTCCTCCTCCTTCTGTAAATCCATCTTAGTCTCATTAGATTTAGCTGCTAACTTCTTTAGCTCTGAGTGCTGATCTAACAAACTTAGTTTACTCCTGTCCTCTTCCTCCTCAACCTCTATCCCCTTCTCCTCAGCAGCCTTCCTGCCCTGTACAGTTTTAAGGAGACGGTACTTCTCTCTCTCCATCTGTCTCCTCTTCAGGACAGGTATGTACGGCCTGAACTCTCCGTCACTAGAGTCTGTATCACTGCTCTTAGAGGAAGAATTACATTTTCTCTTCATGCTATGTGCTAATTTACAAGGAATATGAGCTGCTATTTCCACCCCAGGCTAATCTTTACTTAATTCACAGATAGAGATGGTAGTAACAAACTAGCGGTAATTATACGTAATTATTGCATAATATCCTATGGGCTTTATTAATTAATTTTGATTCAATAGAATAACTATCAACTAATAATTATGTCATTGTTTGGTAGCTATACATGATGTCTCCATAGTCTGCATGTGTTATCCTTGCTTCCTGTGATGATCATATCTCCGTCATAATTGAACGCACAACTGAAAATATCATCAGTATGTCCTTCCAGGATCTGCGTACAGAGACCGGAATTAACGTCCCACACCCTGGCACTCTTATCACTACTCGTGGTCAATATCCTGGTCCCCTGAGGATTGAACATAGCCTTTGAAACCTCTCCGTTATGTCCCTCCAATCGGTACAGAGGCTCTCTACTCCTTACGTCATATATATACCCTGTAGTATCAGAACTAGCGGTCACAAGTTTAGCACCCGCCCAATCAAATGAAACATCCAACACCTCATCTTCATGATTTGCTAAATTAGCTATAACTTTCCCGGTACGAATATCCCAGAGATTACAAGTCTTATCAAGTGATCCGGTTGCTACCATATCCCCAGTGAAGTTAAACTGTGCACTTGATATCTCCTCTGTATGCTCATCTAGTCCCATTAACTTCTTTCCAGTTTCTGTATCCCAAATACTCACAGTGTGATCAAATGATCCTGTCAGTAACTGCGTTCCATCTGTGTTGTATGATAATGTAATTATCTCTCCTGTGTGCCCAATAAGTGTGCATAGTTCTTCTCCTGTTGTAGCATTCCAAAGCTTCGCTGTTGTATCCATGCTACCAGTGCTTACTGTACTGCTAGTGGGATGGAAACCTACAGACACAACCTCTCCTGTATGCCCCTTGAGTGTAAACATGCATTTACCGGTAGCTGCACTCCATAGCTTGCATGTCTTATCAAATGATCCAGTAGCGATTTTATCCCCATATGGATTATTGAATGATATAGTATAGACAACATTACCGTGACCTTCTAGTGTATGTATCTCCTCTCCAGTGCTGGTGTCCCATACCTTACAGGTCCTATCGTAACTACCTGTTATGAATTGGGATCCTGGCTTATTGAATGCGAGGTTAGTCAAAGGGAGGAGATGAGCTTTCATTATTTTGAAGAGAGAAAATTTCTTGTAATCTGGTTCTAACCTTTCTCGTAATTTAGCAATGAGTGCTCTAACTTGGTCTAGTCTATGTGGAGAAATCAACGGTTCTCTAGCAGCTATTTCACCTAACACTATCTCTATATTCGTGTCTTTCTGTAGCTGCAGCAAATCAATACATTTTCTCTTCACTTTTCCTCCCTGCTCGTACTCAAGGATAATACCTGGAGGGTAATAACGAAGCAAAAATCTCTTCAGCTTCATTCTTAAATAATGTAAATATATCACGTGGTAAATAAGTCACATTGGTATCCTAAACTATATCTTATCTAACTTTACATTCTAAAATAATTTACTATACGATTATACATAGCTTGTAGGTTTATCAGAATATTCTTGTATTGATGTGAAATATGATAGTTGTATAAAATAGAGAACAAAGCAAACAGTGGTCAATAATGATGTGTTACTATTGAAATAGCTTGTTACGCTATTTGCAAGATGTAATCATTCCTGAAATGTGCAAACTGCCGAGAACCCCGGTTCCTTCGTTGTAAGCAGAGTAAATACGTTACAACAGGAGTTTCCAAATAACTGACTTGTCCTAACGGGAGTTTACTGTAATATACAATATATAAGTTTGACATTAATTAAGCTCTTTGTAACGAAGTAAAGTTAAATTGAGACTTAACTCGTTGTAACAGGTTTTCATATCCCAAACTCTCCTCTAGAACAAGCCATAACTATGCGAATATTAATATTGCAGCCTTTTCAGACTTTGATCAAACGAATCCAACCCTAAAAAGCTAAGCAATTTTAGCAGATGTACATAGAAATCTAACTGTTACAAGATTAAAGAGTTAATTACTTATTTCGCATATATGTTATACCCCACAACTCTCTGTAGTAATTAATATATTATTGTCTTCTCAAAAGGAATTTAAATTCTAAAATATTTCAATATTTTATCTCAAAACTTGGTTAATACGAACTCCGGATAAGGGGAACAAGTTTGGCCGTCCGTTGGTGTTCGCATATTTGAGGTTCTACGGAGTAAACTCAAACTTCAATAATTTTCCCATTTTTAAAATATTACTTTCATTTCACTGAGACATCTCTAAAGTGGATGTAGACTCAGCCTACTCAATACTGTACAAGCGAGTCTATGGAGTATAAATACAGGTTATTTCAACTAATTATCAGAGAATAATAACTTCAATAGGAAATATAATAAATGGCCTCAACTGCAACTTGCTTTTTCTTCATCTTGGTTCTGCTACAAGCTCAGCTTATATTTGGGAAGGTTTATGCAACACAGCTTGGACTAGCTTATTTCTTCAATATTTTCATGATTTGCAGTGTTTTCCCATTCTCAATCCTCACTTTGGGATATCTGCAGCTACTTAATGTCGTACACAAATACTACACATAAACAACAAACAACAACAACGTCCAAAAGACCAAAAAGTTGTTACTAAACAGCAAATATAAATCGAAGAAGGACTGAGATTCAGAACGAGTCAAAGAACAAAGTCCCTTTATTATCTACATTCACTTAATTTTGTTTTCATTAGACATCAAATCTTATTAAACACAACCAATTCATTTTCTTTAACCTCCACAATATTTAATACAAATTTGGGATTAATTTATTTAGAGTCAGGTTAAGGTGTCAGAAGGCACCCTAATCACCAGTAGAGAATGATTGTCTGCTGGAAATATACTCCCATTTGAAATTCAGCTTTATTCGTTTCCGTGGGTATTTTTGGCACAATAAACCGAAACATATATTAAAGAAAAGAACCCAATTCTCCAGCGGGCATAGGTTGGAGCTTGGGGAGTTAGGTAAATAGTATAATTAATTCAAATA